CACCCTGTCACTATTAAAACGTCTTACCAATTCCCCCTTCTGCACCCCTACAAAGGTTAAATTTTTCTTCAGTTCTCATCTGTCTTGTTCTTTCATGTATGTCTAAAAATGTGGGTCATATAATTTCCCATTGTTATTTGAATAAACATCCATTTATGTAGTAGAATTATTGATATTGAATTATAGAATTCTTTGTGGCTTTTGTATATCTTGATGTGCATTACTATTTTTTTTCCTTGTAATTTTTGAAATGTAAAACTTTTGGAGTTTTTGCGTTCACATGTTCCACATGGAAAAGATAGACAATGCTTATTAGTCATCAGCAATACAAGCAACATACCAGGTCTGCTTGTCATTACAGGAAAGGGTCAACCATCTACCTACAGTCTAGGGGCCGACCAACCTCTCCCTTAGGCTTCAGCCGAGCTTCCTGGTCGGTCTGTAATTCCCAAAATCTCCTCCTTAGCCGCAAATGCTTTGTGTTGCCTTACGATGTGGTTCAGCACTCGATTGATGTCTGGAAGTATGCTCCTAATTAATTAATCTAACAAAAATATATTAATTATAAAAACAATCTTAGACAATATTTTTTCTGACTTAGTACTRTAGTACACCTCAGCACTACGTCTGGAGGTATGGTCCTAAATTGTTCAATCAATAAAAATAAAATAATGTATGATAAGAAAAGATTTACTAGGAGACACCTTACAACGTCCTTTTCCATCGGCAGAGAAGTTTTCGGATCAGGAGACCAAAAGTTATCAAGTAAGGAATGGATTGYGCAAAGAAATGTCCCCAACTTTGCGATTTTTCAAGAGCTCTTTGGTTTTCATTGTGATTTTCTAACTGCAAACGAGATAAAATTCATCTACCTGAAAGCTAAAGCTGGCTGAAATTTAAAGATTGACCTCTACTTCCCCTCCCAAAGGACTACAGGATTGTAGATTTGCCTCACCTTGCCTCCCTTGCTCGGGTGTGGTCGTAAATCCAAATGGTCATGATGGTGATGATGATGATAGCATTGATGATAATACTGGTAACGGATGGTGATGATGGACAAGATGATGCCACGATGGTCACGATGGTGATGATGATAGCATTGATGATAATACTGGTAATGGATGGTGATGATGGACAAGATGATGCCACGATGGTCATGATGGTCATGATGATGATGATAGCATTGATGATAATACTGGTAATGGATGGTGGTGTTAGACAAGATGATGCCACGATGGTCATGATGGCGATGATGATGATGATAGCATTGATGGTAATACTGGTAATGGAAGGTGGTGATAGACAAGATGATGCCACGATGGTCATGATGGCGATGATGATGATGATAGCATTGATGGTAATACTGGTAATGGATGGTAATGATGGACAAAACGCATGCCTCTATGGTCAAAATGGTAGTGATGACAACGAAAACTAATGCACGAGACGATTGTAATTTCAGTATTAAAATGCGTTAGTTAAGTGAACTTTCTATTAATAGTTCCATCCTAATCAAGGTCATGACCGTTGAATATATTGTATTTATTTTATTTGGTTTCTTTAATATTTCATTAGCATTTGAATACTACCAATTAAGGCAACTAACACAATCAGAAGAGACGTTTATTATTTAAAGTTAAAGAATTAATGACTTTTATTAGATATTTTCCATTATTTAGTGTCTTTCATACGTTGGTTTTAGCCAACAAGAGGAACGATTCATCACGCTTTTTCCTTAATTTTTGTAGTTTATTTTAGTTCGCATATTTAAGGCAACATTAAAATCTTGAGAAGTGTGGCTAGAAGTGTTGCTAAGCCTGTAAATTTAGCTTTCAGGAATGCAAGAGGTTTTCGATTTCCGGTCATTTCACACACTTGTTTCAGTTCTCCAATGCATGCTACTTAAGCTTTAAATACTCTTAAAATGGAACACTGATGTAGAGAGCTAAAGGGCGCACAACGCGGGCTTCCTGGAACAGCAGCTACTCGCAGAAAACTACMGACGTAAAAAGAGTATCATTTAGAGACAGGTTTCGCACTCAGGTCCAGCCATCRCAATCGTGTTCATAACAGTGTTATTTTGAATCGAACAAAGCATCGTCTCTGAGCTCAGTTTATTTCTCTTAAATTCTGTCCTCGATTTCCTAGTGGTAAACTGGCTCACCAGCCCTCGACGAAAGTTCTTTATAAAGCCAAAATAGATACATGGATTAATAGCAGCGTTGGAGTATGATAAGAACTGGACCGCAAAGAGTAAAGACCCCCACCCGCAAAAGTTTGGGACTTTCCATTTCCACACGAAAATCTGGAGAAAGAGAATGAAGTTGTACGGCCCCCAGCACAGTCCAAAAACGAAGACGATGAGAAACGCAATGATTGTGAGTCGCCTTGATGTTTTCTTCTGCTTGGCCCTTGCTGCGGTGGAACACTTACTTCGAATGTAATCAGGCGTCTTGGTTTTGATCAATATTATCGCGTATAGAATTGTCAGGATTACAAATGGAATGACGAGGAAATAAATCGAAATCGCTATGCTGTAAGCTTTCTGGATTTTGATGTGGTCTTCCAAGTTATCGCTCCAGTTCAAAACACAGTGATTTTCTCCATTAAATGGTAATAGTTTTATAGCATAGAAGTAAGGGGAGAAAAATCCCAACGAGATAATCCATGTAAGAGCTATTAGAAAGTAGCGACGTTTGGCATTCATGAGGGTCACGCGAAGTGGGAAGACGACAGCCAGGAATCTATCAAGTGTCATAAATATGAGACTAACGATGGATACAGCGGGAGAGACATCTGCGAGAAAGGAGATCAACTTGCATGTGACGACTCCGAATGCACCGTGTATCAGCCAAGCAGAGCTGTCTCTGGCCAGCCTTACTAACATCATTGGAATAACAATAACAGGAATCAAAACGTCCGATACAGCAATGTTCAGGATGAAAAAGTTGATCGTGCGTCGAAGATTTCTGTTACGACACACTACATAAATAATAAGCAAGTTCCCAAAGAGCGACATAATAAGAATGACTGAGAGAGAGAACATCTTGGTGATTCGAGCTGCCTCAGTGTCTCGTGGACATCCAAATTCAGAGTGGTTTGTGAGGGAGTTGTTCGTTTGAGTATCCATCGTGTTAGTATTTTTTGTGGTTAAGGCTTCCCGTAGCAAACAAAAGCTTGCAGCGGCTTCTGTATTGTCCCGAGTTAAAATGCTATAGCTCCGAGTAGTAACTATTTGTGTTCGAGCTTTAGTTTTGAAAAAAAGTCTGTATCTATGCTTCTGTAGTCTGTATCTATGCTTCTGTAGTCTGTATCTATGCTTCTGTAGTCTGTATCTGAAAAATTATGGCTTCTTCTTTTTATCTGCGCGAATGGTGTTTCGTAGGAGACGCACGGAATTCCGGTCATAAGGGTTTAACGTCTTTACTTTCTCATCGTTTCATGTCAGGTGCTAGCTTTTTCTCATAATTCAACTTATGACGAAGAAACTTGAAAACCTGTGTAAAAGGCCACAAGTTTATCAGTTGTTGYGACGGTTTAGTGTTTAACTCTCGTTATAAATAAAGTTACTATTATGATGCATTAAYGGGGGAATAGAAAGTTCGATGTTTAGATTAACGTCGCTCAAAACTATAATAATGGCAAAGTGCCTTGCATTGCTAATGAATTGCCAATGTTCTTAGGGTTGAGAAATGATAAAAAATGAATTAAACAAATGAATAATGAAGTAAAGGAAAATTGAAATTTTGACTGATTTTGGATACGTTTTTTCTCGAAGTAAAAAAGAGAGTGCTGTACGTGGAAAACTAGTGAAAACTAGTGTACGTGGTTATCTTAACTCGCAGGGTTTAAGATTGATAGTGAGAGTTCAGAGCGAGTTAACGCTTGCTGCAAGGTTAAAATGAATGAATGAATGAATGCATGATAAAGGCCAAAAAGAATTGACATTTTAATTTGAAGCTTGAATTTTCATTCGCTTAAAACGTGGTTATCTTAATTCACTGAGTTCATGACTAAATGGCAGCTGTATTGTTAACGCTTGCAAGGTTAAAATAAATGAATGAATGCATAATGAATTAAGGTCAAAAGAACTGCCAATTTTGAACCTTGAAATTTTAAATCTTTCGGCTCCACGTAAAAAAGAAAGTGGTTTTAGGATAGCCTAACTCACCGGGTTTAAGAATAAGAATTGAATGTTATCGTTTGCAAGGTCGAAAAATTGAATTAAACAAATAGAAAATGAAGTAAAAAAAGAATTGAAACTTTGAATTTTTCTCAACGTAAAAAGAAAGTGGTATTGAGATATTTTTAACCCTCTGGGTTTAAGAACGAAAATTGAATGTTATAGTTTGCAAGGTCGAAATATTATAAAAAATGAATTAAAAAAATAAATAATGAAGTGAAAAAAAAAAAAGAAAAAAAAAGAAAGGATTGAATGATTTTGAATTTTTATCCAAGTAAAAAGGAAAGTGGTATTAGGATAACCTTAACTCACTGGGTTTAAGAACGAGAAATTAAGTGTTATCGTTTGCAAGGTCGAAATATTATGAGCAGTGAATTTCAAAAAAATAATGAATTAAAAAAAGAAAAAAAAAGAAAAAAAAAAGAAAGAAAAAAAAGGTTGAAATTTTGAATTCTTATCCAATTAAAAAGAAAGTGGGTTTAAGAACGAGAATTGAATATTTTTATCGTTTGCAAGGTCAAAATATTATAAGAAATGAATTTTTAAAAAAAAGCGAAAAAAAGAAGAAATAAAGAAAGGATTTAAATTTTTAACTTTTTTCTCAAGTGGCATATATGATTATCATAATTCACCTGGCTTAAGAAGATGAGACAATCGTAAAGATTTCTGGCGACTGAGTTCTTCTAGCTACGCTYTCAAGCTCAGCATGTTCTAGGTCTCTCCTCACACGTCGGTTAAACCTTCCCAATCCTAGCGAAAATTAATTGACGTCAGTCGAAGCCACCAAAAATCATGCACAAAGGYAATGAACAAAGCTGGTTACGGAAAGAATAATATTGGTATAGATTGMCATAACGGCAGAAGCTTAAACAAAGATATAAAGAAATGTCAAAATAATAAATACCATTAATTGGAAGATTAAATTTTTTCATGCAAAAGCCAAGTAACATGAAATTCTTATTAAATTGATAGATGGTAGTGGTGGCCGCCATCGGTTAGATTTAAATTCATCTTGAGTGGTATTTTCCTGAGATTTTCTTTTCGTTTCACAGAATTTTGGTCCGGGGTTGTTTTGCGTGTAAAAATATTTGAACAAATTTGGGTTTTGAAATATTTATCGTAAGCCGTTTTCTTGAGTCCTTGTCGTTAAATCATTTATTAGAAGGAGAATTTTTGATAAAAGAGTACAAGGTGTTTCCTTCCTCATAAGAAAAGAAAGAAAAGAACACATGCTAGGACGAACTCGACAATGCTAGTATGCATTTGTTTAATGGAGTTTATTTTCTAGACAAAAAGACTACTTTGATGATTTAACACCTTAATTGATACCAGGAAAACGAAAAAATATATATGACAAAAAAAAAAAAAAAAAAAAATAAAGGAAAATGAACCTGAATGAACACTTAATAGAATGAGAGCAACTGTCTTCACAATGAAAGAAAGAACTCGAATTGAAAGCGGTTTTAAAATTGTAATATTTTTCTCTCTCGCAAATATCAAACTTATCAGTATTGTTAAATGCTTAGATAGCCTTTAATCAGCGTTCAAATAGTTAGGAAAACTTCTTTTCGAAGGGAAGAACTCGAATTTCAAATGGTTGCTGCACAAGGAACTTACCTCACTTACTCGAGTACAARCCTTGTGAAGTGAGCTGTGTTGATTCTCCTATTCATACCATAGTTATTGATCTATCGACGTTTCACAAAAACGACTGTCATTTTTAATACCAATGAATAGTAATGAGCAGCTTAAGGGCACGCTTCGCAGCAGGGGAAAATCAATATTGTCTCGAATGTTTCTGGCCAACGGTCTTTGGATATTGATAGAAAATGAAAAATCGTAATTGCTTCTGAAGTGAGTTGGTATTCAATCAATCACTATGTCCCGAACGAAGTCTTAATCTTACTCGAAGGATCAATTCCTAATGTCAGGTCGAGTCCTTGGAGTCAGAAACAYACCTCCAACGGCTTTAATTAAGGGAACTTCCAAATGTAAACATAATGAAAAAATACAGCGATTAAAGAAAAGGTTGAGCTGGTATCTTCTCTTGCAGGTGGGATCRCAAAACAAAGGGGTCTTGAATATATATAATTGAGTATATAACAGGAAACGTAAARCAATTTTCACCTCGATTTTGAACTTGAATTATGTTTCAATTGGACTTCAAAAATACAACGTAAGGCTTGCTGAAGGCTATAGATTCTACAATTAAGGGTTAGTGGTTTGTTTCAGTACGACCGCAGGAAACGTCGCACTGAAATTATAAGTCGGATTACGGCTGTAGGAGATCTTCATTTTCTACGCGATTTCGATCATCAATAAACCTTGTTCAAAAACACGCCCAACCCTTGAAACCCACTCATTGAGTAAACTCTAACGTACTTTGTTCCTTGGTGTGTTTAGATGAACAGATTATTTGACAAACAACACTGTATTGAAACAATGATATCAAAAGAAGGTGATTTCAGTAGCAAGCTGCAATTTTAACCGGATTAAAAAGACTCTTAGCGAAGTGCCCAGAATCTGAGCCTTAAGTACCCAGACACTCAAGTCAGCGATTATCTTCATTTTTACAYGTGTCAACATTGTTAATCCTTATGTTTTTCAGTCGAGCTCTTAGAGTTTTTCACGAGAGCTTTCCCCCGGCGTAAAATAAACTCTGGTTGACTTCGAAGGGAAGTCATTTGAAAACACATTTGGTACAATTATAGATGCCGTTTATGAAATAGAAAAGTATCCAACGGTGATACAAATAGTAATGCAAGTTGATTGCCGCTCTACTTACTCACCGGCGCGGAATCTCTATAAAAATGTTAAGAAGATGATTGTAAAAAATAAAAAAGAAAGAAAGAAAGAAAACGGTTGAAAAATCAAACGATGAAGACTGAATCGCTTTAGATCCTAAAATGATCGAGTTCCGCGGGTTTTGAACGCTAATCTCTTATAGTCTTACGTATCTCGATAAGTATATTAAGATAAAAAAGAAGAAAATGCTGGAAAAGATATGCAAATGTAAGCTATTGATTAGTCCCTTTGGAATATAAAAAATATCTAATAATATTAAGTAGATAATAGTAAAACAATAATGAAAACGGTTGAAAATCCGAAAGATGAAGACCTATAATCGCTTTGGAATATGTACAGTAATCGGCGAGTCTCGGCGCTGAAGTTTTTTTAGCTGAATCATGTCTCCARGTTATCTCGATAAGCATATTAAGATAAAAAAGAAGAAAATCCGGGCAAAGATAAGMAAATGTGAGCTATTGATTAGTCCCTTTGCAATAGGAAATGTTRGTGTCTCGCCAACTTGTCTTATGTTGTCCGCGTTACTGAAGTAGATGATGAAAAACAAAAAGAACTAAGGAAAGTAGAAAATGATTGAATATTTAAAAGAGACCATTGAGAATGAGACGAATGGTAAGACGAAACGAAAGCAAAATCCAGCTGAAAARAGAGAGAGAGAGAGAGAGAAAAGCGAGGGAGAAAGAGAGAGAACTTACCTAATTACAAACCTAGAATACGCGAAGACTAATCTACCCAAGGCAATAATTGTTCTTGAATATATCTTTTTGCACGGCTCGGAACTGCGACCTTCGTGAAATGATACCAAAACACTTGGATTAATCTTATTTTGATGAAATCAATCGGCAATACTCCAACGAACTTTGGTCTTTTTTCGTTGTTCGAGAAGGTAGGCGGTGGCAGTCCGCTAATATATGACAACATTTTCGCCCAYTTGGCAGCTGTGGACATTCGCAGTTAAGATAATCTAGTATATTGAAGAGGCGGCAGGAAGCCGAGAGAAAACGCAATACTTCGACATCGAAATATATTAAATCTAAATAAGGTTTAATTTGGTTGCACAGTCCGTGGAATCGAATTTGTCGACCTTTGAAAATGACCAATGTCTTTTTTTAAAATTCACTGTCTTACAAAACTAGATCATAAAAGCAAATGGCTCCAAATGACATTATGAAACATACGCAAGACAAAGGTCCGCCGACCTCAATTTGATTAAGTTCGTTTTGAAAAAATATATTATATATATATAATGCTTGCATCTGCTCTCATCTGTGATAAAGTGTAAACTAGAGATCGCATGAATAAGTCAACTAAGAGGTTTTGATGTATTTAATGGTGCATGGGAGCCGTTTAAATCCTTGTGAATATTTTCTCATTGGTCAAGTTTAACCACAGGTGAATTAAACCGTTAAATACTTATCAAGAATTTGTTGGTTGGCTAAAAAAAAGAAATATTTACTAAAAGTAACTGCGCTTAAAAGCGAAAGTCTTTTTTGAATAAAGAAGAATACTTAGTCTTGCTCTTTGTTTAGCTACACATTAAAATTTAACGAAAAAACCGCATTTTAGTATCACTTTGTCTTTAAAATATAACAATTTGCTGTTATTTCAGGCAGATGTGAAACTGTTTCGTTAATAGTGGTATTGGCAGAAATAGGAAAGGAATACCACGAATTAGTATATAGATTATGGATTCCAAAGTCTTTTATAGATAAGTGTTTTTTTTCTTTGTTTAGGTGAAAAATAAAATAAAATAAAAAACTCGTTAAAAAGGGAACTTTGCGCGAATTGACTACCTGTCGAGATGGAGACTTAACAGTTGTACAAGCTTTATGTCGTAAAGCCGATAAAAAAAGAAAAAAAGAAAAACGATGCTAAACGTTAAGCTTTTCAGTCGAACCCTGGAACATCTGGGCTGATCTAAGTCAGGGCACGGCTAACTCACAGAT